GGGGGGGGGGGGGGGGGGGCTGAGTCCGTCCCCCCGGCTGCCTCTTCTCCGGTTTTCCCTCGGCCGTCGGGGTTGGTGGCCGTAACTCCGGGACCTTTGGCAGAAACGGTGGGTGCGAGGCCGGTCCCCCGTCCGCTTTCCTGCTCTGCCACCCACCTGCCTCTCCCTCTGGAAGCGGAGGAGGAGAGTCGGTGCCGCCTGGTCTCGGCTTCCTTCCCGCGGCTGGACCCGAACCCCGATCCCCTCGTTCCTGGGCCTCCGGAGAGCCCGGAAGGTGCCCCAAGCGCCGCCGCCGCCGCCGCCCCCCCCCCCCCCCCCCCCCCGGGGGGGCCCCGGGCCAGGGGGCCCCCGCTCTCCCCGCCCGGGCAGCCTGTCTAACGGGGCGGAGGGAGGGGGAGGGAGGGAAGGACGCCCGGCGTAGGAAAATGACAAGCTGGGCCTGCGGAAGAAGTCAGCGGCCTCCAGTGGCAATGAATTAACCAGGGAAAGAAGGAAAGTACCGAAATGCTGCGTGCGCCTTGGAGCGAGAAAGGGGAAAGTGGATGGATGGAGCCGATGAATGCAGGCGGCGTCACGGGTCTTTTTTATGAACGATGAAAGGGTCGAACTATGGACTGGTACCTTCAGTTTTTGATGGGGGGGACCCCGAGTAAGACTCTCTAAGTGGGTGACAGTTGCACCTTATTACCTTCCGGTGGGTGGTGATAATGGAAGAACCAGAGACGAGATTGGCAGGAATTGGGTCCTGAATGCCTGTGATGTAGGGTAGAAATATTCCATCGGATGAGGTGAATGGATGGATGAGCAGGCGGGACCCAGAAATGAATGAGAATGGTGGTTGGGGAGTACTTGTGCAGATAAAGTTTGCTTCGGATGTAAGGCTTCAGCATAAGCCTCCCTCTGATATGTAAGGGGGCCCTATTCCATGGCAACTCCCGCTGGTGTACAGGATTAAGAACTTTAGATGTATGTGTAAACTTGCAGAAGCTGTGAAACTAGAGGCAGATGTGATTGAATGTGGAAAGTCTGAGGATGCTCTTAGTACCAGAATGAAACATTCTAAACGTGGAGCAGGCTGTTTTCTAGTAGGGTCAAAAGTGGATCTTGGGGGGGAAATTTACGCACACAGAAAAAGTGAAGCGACGACTCTCTCGTGGCTGATACCATTTGCATCTATTTGGTCATCCTTCCTCCTCTCTGCACAGCCAGACCATTTCAATGTCCTTTTGTCCTGGTCACCCACTTCTGCATGCAAGCAGCTTTCTTCCCATTGTCTCCACTTTCTTTTTATGGTCTCCATGGCCTATTGAGCGCTCACTGGCGGGTGGGAGATATGCTAATGAGGAACACAAAAAAGAAAGCACGGTGGAATGAAGATGTGAGGGGGGGCTCTAAACGAGGGGGGAATGATTGCTGCAAAATGTACAAATGACAAATCTTATGCACATTGAGAGAAAAAGTTGCAAAAAACAATAGTGAAAGAGAACAACGAACAAAAGAGGCAAAGCGGTGTAGACTGAAAGAACAACCGTTTTGCATGTGAGGGAAGATGACCAAATAAAGAACCTCCAGCAGAAGGAGTAGAAATGAAATGATTTGGGATGAATGGAAGTGAGAAGATTTTAGGGATTTGCATGGAATTGGTGTGGGTCTGTTAAAGAGTGGAATTGAAAGCAACGCTTAGGAGTGCCGCGGTCCAAAAAAAGATAGAAAGTAGATGTGATTTACTTACAGAGTGGATCTGCAGCTAATTTAATGTGTAGGGGAAGCTTGCATCGGTGCTTGGTGAGTGGAAGGATAGGATTATTGTGTCACCATAGCAAGACTGAGCACAAGAACTGTAGGAGTGTGTCCTTGGGAATTAGTGCCTGGCATTATTCTCATCTGAAAGGAGAGAGAGCTGTCAGTGAGCAAAACTGGGAGAGGCAGTGAGGCTTCCACACCTCTTTCAAGTTAGACATCAGGCAGGAGCCTGATGCAGCAGCTAAAGCTGCATTGGGAGGGGGACTTAGCAGGAGCATAGAATCCAGATGGAGGAGCAATTGCTCCCTGTTCTCTGGCCTCCCAGATTCCTATGGAGTCCTGCGTCCAGTCCTGCCCCCCCCCCAATCCAAAAAGCCCAGGTGCTGATTGGAGCCAGGCCAAAGAGGGCCAGCAAGGGGCTGAAAGGAGGAAAGAGTTGAGGCCTGCTGATTCTTGTTAGCGTCCAGAGGTGGAGGGAGGACAGCCGCTTTCCTATGCCTGGAGGGTTGTCCTGCAGAAGAGGAAGTGGGCTTGTTCTGTAGCTCCCCCCCTCCAGAGCTGGTCAGAAGTGGTGGCGGGGGAAGCTGCAAGAAGCTGCAAGAAAGGAGAATCCGGCTAGACCTCAGGAGGAGCCTCGGCATGGCAACGGACGTCAGCCAGCGGGACAGACTGCCGTCACAGGAAAGGAGCTGTTTTACTACAGGTCTTTAAAGAGAGATTATCAGAGAAGCTCTCCTGGACCGAGCAGGATGCAGGATGTTTGACTAGATATGGCTGTGGTTTTAGGATTCCAGACTTAAGTGCTTTGATTGAGAAGCAACATCATCTTTTGATCCTGATATTCTGCTTCCGTTGCTGCAGTCTAGAATGGCACTTGCTTTCTTTGCAATTGCACTCCGTGGTTAGCCCGTGTATTGGTTAGCATCCTGCTGTGGTGCCCCATCATAGCAGGTGGGGTGGGGGGTTGTCCCTGGGTGGGACAAGGGTGCCAGGAGTGTATAATCTCAGCAAGATCACTCAAGGCGAAGAAGGTGTCCCAGCTGCCCGGCTAAAACAAGCGGGCCCTTACTGTATACTGGGCAGCAGTGACACAGGGCAGCAAGGGCCGGGGGGGGGGGGGGGGGGCAGGGGCAAACCACTCCTGAAAAAGAGGAACATCTAATAGGAAATATAGAACAATTGGCAAGGCACTGCTGGATGATGCGCCCCTCGGGTCATAGGGCCCTTGGAGAGCCAGCCCTCGGGTTTTTAACCCTAAGGGAGCTTGTCCATCAGGGTCACAAGTCAACACTTTGTAAAATGAACGGGCTCATGTTTATGACTTTTTTTTTTACCACGCTCATTAAGCAAATCAATCGGTCATTAAATGAAAGAAGATTGGGCTCACTGTTTGCTTTGGTTCGTGAAATGACCCTCACCCTCATTAAATGAACCAAGAGGCTTGGCAGGGCCCCCCAGTGGAGCCTCTGGAGGGGAAGGCAGGTGCTCCCAGGCAGGTGCCCGGGTTTAAATTGGCCTGGGAGGCTGACTTTGCAGGGCTCAGTACTGTGAAAGGTGAAAGGACCACACGGCAACATCTTTGAGCATCATCAAATTAAAATGTACTCAAACAGGACACTTTCAAACAGACGCAGTTGTTTACTACTCAAGGCATGAAAACCAAAGAAGGAACCGCGTCGCTTTTCTAATCAGGAAAGATGTATCAAGGACAATGTTTGGGTACGATGCAGTCACGCGGGCATTCCCTGAACACCATCATGCAAGTTTATGCTTCTATCCCTGATGCAAAAGAAGAGGAGTTTGGGGATCAAGTTCAAGTTGAAATCGATGAAACATGTAGGTGTGATTGGAGTCTGGAATGGCAAAGTTAGAAATGCTAAGGAGGACAATGTAAAACTTTTGTAAAAGGTTCTGTCAATCTGTTGCTTTCTTGGTAACTCAGACTCCCCTTCCCCTCCCCCCCAAAATGATGTTTATATGTAAATATCACCAGTGAAATACACAGAAACCAAATTGATTGTGCTGTTACTATAAGGAAGCAAAAGAACTCAGTTATTTCTCAGTGAAAGAGCTGAGAGTTAATAGAAGTAGCCAGAGGCTTACTGTGAAAGACAATAGAAATCGCTTAGGCTCAAGTTCCAGGCCAAGCTCAAGTGGACATTTCTACCAAATGCTCTTGAACACACGCGTGTCATTTTCAAGGAAAACAGATTTGTGCGCCAATGGTGGATTTGGCTCTTTGGTCTGAAAGTTTTGCTGTCCCAGGTAGATGTTGAGCATTTGCAGGAAGAGAGGTGGGGTGTCGGGGTCAGCGTCCTTGGACAGTGGAGCCAGAGACCCGAAGAGGCCCTGCGTGGCTCAGCCATGAGGTTGCATGCAAAGGACTAGAAGGCACCTCCTGCTCTGGGGAGCCTCCAGGGTGGTGTGGCCCTTGTTGAGGCTTCCTCCGGCCGTCAGGGCTGGGTGCAAAGGGGTCGTCACCAAAGACTGCTCTTCCCTCCAGTCCGCGCTGAGCTGCCGTGGCCCCTTTGCTTCCTCCAGCAAGAAGAACAGGCAGACCCCCTCCCAAGGGAGGAGGGAGGGAGGGGGGGTGCTTGGAGGGGGGGCTGGCCGAGGTTTCCCTCCATCCGGTAAGCAGCCCCTTCCTCTCTGCCCGCAGCCTTTCTTCCGACTTCTGAACCTGCGCAGGCTGGGCCTGAGTGACAATGAGATCCAGCGCCTCCCTCCCGAGGTGGCCAATTTCATGCAGCTGGTGGAGCTGGACATCTCCCGCAACGGTGGGTATCTCCGTGCCTGGTGGGTGAAGGTGGCTGCCGCCGTCTTCCTGGCCTGTGCTGGGCCTGGCCGGTGGGCACGGGGGGGCGAAGTGGAGCTCCTGGGCTCCAGCCTCAGCAGCAGCTCTCCCGGCTTGTGTTTGGCTATCCAGGGTGGTCCAGTCTTTAGGCTGGGGGGGGGGGGGCTTGCTTCGCTCTGAGCTCATCTCCCTTGCTGACTCCCGCCTGCCTGCCTGCCTGCCTTTCTTGGGCTGCTCTGCTCCAGACATTCCGGAGATTCCTGAGAGCATCAAGTTCTGCAAGTCCCTGGAGATCGCAGACTTCAGCGGAAACCCCTTGTCCAGGTAGGGCAGAAACGGCTGCCTGGGGGTGTCTGTCTGTCCTTCTGGAAGGACCTCTCTGACTGGAGGGGACCTGGCCGGAGGGGGGCAGGCGGCTGCATGGAGGGTCTGCCCCACGGGAGCTTTGGGGCTGCCGTGAGGGTGCTCCGTTGGAGAGGCAAACGAGCAAAGGCCCAGGGGCGGAGGTTGCCCTGGTAGAGGCCAAAATGGCCAGTGCCGAGCTCAGCCAGCTCCCTTTCCTCTGGGGTCGTGAGAGCCCCAAACACCAACTGCCCTGAGGGGCTCCATCTGCCCAGCTCCCTGCACCCCTCCAGGGTCTCCCTGCTTCTCTCCCCAGGCTCCCCGAAGGCTTCACCCAGCTGCGCAACCTGGGCCACCTGGCCTTGAACGACGTCTCCTTGCAGAGCTTGCCCAGTGATGTTGGCAAGTGAGTTCATGGCCGGCATGGGGGGTGGGGGGGGGAGAGAGTAGTCTTGGCCCTCTTCTGCTCAACCGCGGCCCTCCTGTCTCCCCCAGCTTGGCAAACCTGGTGACCTTGGAGCTTCGTGAGAACCTGCTGAAGTGCCTCCCGGCGTGAGTGCCAGCCTGTCCCTGTCCTAGCTGAGATGGGGGTGCAGCTCCCCTGCTCCCAACGCCCCCTGACTTTTGTCTCTGGCTTGCAGATCACTCTCCTTCCTTGTCAAACTAGAGCAGCTGGACCTCGGGGGCAACGACCTTGAAGTGTTGGTAAGGAAGGCTGGCGGGGGGGGGACGGGGGGGACGACGACACACACATCTGCCTTTCTTTCCCTGGCCAGGCTCTCGCCCTGTGTCCCCAGCCTCACCTGCTGGCTCTGCGGCCCTGTCCCACCCAAGCGAGGGGTGCTGCGGGGCGGGCAGGGCCTGTCCCTGCTTCGGTCTCCTCTCTCAGCAGGCCCCTCAAGGGCTGGGCCTGAAGGCACTGGGGGGGGGGTCCCCGAGAAGGTGTTTGCCGCGGAGAGTGACGTTGCGCTCCTCTCCTCCACAGCCAGACACCCTGGGCGCCCTGCCCAACCTGCGCGAGCTCTGGCTGGACAGGAACCAGCTCTCCTGCCTGCCCCCGGTAAGTATTTCCCCCGGGCTCCATTGGCCTCGGGTGCCTCTTGTGGGCTGCCCCCCACCTGCCCCCAGGAGCTCCAAGGGGAAGCCCGTGCGGGGGGGGGGGGCTCAGGCAAAGCCAGATGGAAGGCCAGCCCAGGGAACGTGGGCCGAGGGGCTTCGCTAGAGATAAAGACGCTGCTAGAGCAAGAAGCCCCTCACCAGGGACAGGAAAGCCGGCTGGGCTCATGCCGGCCGTTGCCCCTCGCTGCTCCCCCTTTCCCTCGAAGGACGAGCAGGGAGCAGGTTTCGGGAAGGCCTAAAGGTCGCCTGCTGGGCTGCAGTGGGGTGACGCTGCTCCCGGAGGCGCCCAGTGGATGGGGAAGGGAACCAGGGGGCTGCTAGGGAGGGCCGCTTCAGTCACCCTTGCCAAGGTCTGGCTGGCCTTGTTGGGAAGGCCCCACGTCCGGCACCTCTGGTGCAGTTGGGCACAAGGCCGGACGCCTGCAGCTGTCCCTCCAAACCGGATAGAAACTAGGAGCATAAATGGGGGTCCTGGGACACTGGGCCTGCTGGGCCTTCCCACCCACCCGTGATCCCGGGAAGGAGGGCCGGAGAGGGAGGTGCAGCTGGGGGTAGAGTGACCCCTCCCCCTTCGAGCAGCAGGCCTAGGTGGGAAAGGGAGTCCCAGAGGGGTCTGCAGGCAGGCAGCATCCTCACGATGAGGGACCTCCCTCCCCCTCACGCCATCCCAGAGAGACGTCTGGAGGGCCTGGGTTTATGGTGCCCGTCACAGTCTAGCTGCCAACAGAGGGGTGTCGTTTGGCCTCAGTCCCAGGCAGTGCCTGGAAACGGCTCCAAGAATTGCTGGGACTCGGGGAAGGTCCTGGCCTCCCATTTGGCCTACGATGATTGCCAGGAGGAAAGAAGAAAGCAAATGCCAAAATGTAGCCTTTTGTTTTTAAAAAAAAAAAAAGGTTGCAAAAGAGCGCAAGAGGCCTCTGAAAGGCTTTGAAGTGAGTCCGAGCAGCGGCCCCTCCGGAGGCGCTTCTCGGGCTCCCTCTCGGGTGAAGAAAGGGGCTCCAGAGGGAAGGAGCCGTGAGCCCCGCAGTTCCCTTCGGGCGTCATGGCCAAAGGGGCAAATGAGCGTTGGTAACCAGGTGCAGGGCTCCAGTGGGAAGAGGCAGGTGGACCCTAGCATGAGCCACCCAGGCGGTCCCACTCAGCTGGTGGAAGTGGCCAGGGCGTCCCTGTGCAGGGCCTTTCCCGAGCAGACGGAAGCCCCGGGAAGTAACAAGGCTTGACAGGCAAATTAAAGGTCAGTGAATAGTCGGGTCCAGATGATTGGAGGATCCTTGAAGATCTTGCTTCGGAAATAGCCGATTGTCCACTGTAAGCAGGCAGCTTCCCGCTATATCAGTGGATGGAGAAGTGGCTGCCATTCTTGAATAGCTGGGAGAAAAGGAGGGATCCAAAACCATACCTGGGGGTGGGGGGCCGGGGGGGGGGCAACGCTGCCCAGGGGAAACCTTGGGCTCCCCTCCCCGCCTGCAGGGCAGACAAGCAACCCAGTCTTTTCAGTCTGGATAAAGCCGCGATAAAGCCCTTCCCCCGAGGGTGACTCGGTGGGCTTTGGCCCATGCCCGAGCTGCCAGCCCCGTCCCCTTCCTAGCCTAACCAGGGGACCAGCTTGCATCTGCAGGAGAGAAGGAGGCCCGAGGGCACGGCCTGGGCTCAGCCTGCATTCTGGGCCTCAGCAGCCTCCAGCGCGGGCTGGGGCGCAGGTCGAGCATTGAAACTGGGCCGTTGGTTGGTCGGTTTTGCGCTGAGCAGCAACCGAGCAATCAGGCTCCCCCGAGCCTTCTTGGGGTGTCCCCCTCTGCCTGTCCACAAAGGTTCTGCCAGCCTTGCCCCTGACGGGTGGGGTAAGCCATGCCCCCTCCCTCAAGATATTGCAAGGGGAGGCACCGGGACCCGAGGAAGGTGGCTCTGGACTTAAAACAGGGGGGGGGGGAGGAAGAGCAGACTGGAGAAGGGGAATTCTGAGCTGTGCCCACGTTTGCCCCGCATTGCCCATATGCCACGTGAAACCAAGCTGGAGAGAAGCCCGGCTTTTAAAAGCCCAGCTCTGTTGAGGCCAGCCTTTGCTCCGAGTGTCGCTGTCGGGGGCGTTCCAGAGTGTCCAGAGGCAGGTGGAGGAGGGGCACCCTGGAGCCGATTGCGCTCTGCACCCCAACTTCCCCGAGAGTCCCCCGCCAGGTGTCTGGGCAGGGCAGGCTGAGGCTGGGGAGCTAGAAGAAGGAAAGGGCTCGAGGGGCAGGGGGTGTCAGCTCTTCCCAGACAGGTCTTCCCAGAGGTGCTAAGCTGCAATTTGGCTGCTGCCCGGCGAGGCCTCGCTCGGCCGCGGGGTGGGCACCTGGCGCCTGCAGCAGGGACCAGAGGCGGCAGAGGGGATTGTCCCTCTGCTCCCTGTGGCTCTTCCTGAGCCCTTTAGAAAGTGGGGCGCATAATGGGGGTGCGCAGGCTTTTCCCGACCACACAGTGCTGGGATTGGTGGTTATACAGGCAGAATTCCTGCGCTTCCCTGTCCGTGGGTGGTTTGGTTGGGGCGTGGCCTCAGGAGTCAGCCTGCCTGGCTTCACTCTGTGCAGGAGCTGGGCAACCTGCGCCGGCTGGTGTGCCTGGACGTCTCCGAGAACAAGCTAGAGCAGTTGCCCAATGAGCTCAGCGGGTTGGTGGTGCTGACGGACCTGCTTCTGTCACAGAACTTGCTGGAGGTGGTTCCCGACGGCATCGGTGAGTGTGGCCACGCGGGGGGGGGACCCTCGAATGGGGTGGGGGGGGGTCGCTTTGGAAAGAAGGAAGCTGTCTTGCAATGGCTTTGGCTTTGAAATCTGCTTCTCGTTTCTCTGTCTCCTTATTTCTGGAGTTGCGAGGAGCGTCTTTGAGAACCATTCCTCGGTACGGAATCTTGCTCAGGGGGCGGAAGGCAAAAGAAATGGTTGATTGGGAAAAAGGCTTCAGGAAAGCAAAACCTTTAAAGCTTTCGGCCCAAATTAAAAGTCCTTGCTGGCATTGTTTTTTTTTTTTTGATATATATATAAAGTTTTATTGTTCTTTAAGACAAACATAGACAAACAAAACATAAAAACATCAAGCCATCTTGCATATATATATATATATATATACATACAGTGTGTCGGTTGGTTTACAAATTGTTTTGTGCTTCCACTTCGTAGTCTTCAGTTACAATTACATTGTATATACTCTCATATTGCCAATCAAATATTCTAAAATACATTAATATCATTATTAATTAATCATTTGACTATAGTATTATTCATGTTTTACAAGATAATCCATATTTTATTTTATTTGTTTTGAGACAGTTCAAATTATCATCTCAGATCTATCCTACAATCATTTTGTAGTTATAATAAAAAAAATACATTTTTATATATTATGTTCTAAAAATCTACATATTTCATTCTAAATATCTACATATTTTATTGTCTAACCATTGATAGAATAGATCCCAAATTTTATAAAATTGTTTATCATCTTGTTCTTTGATTTGAAATGTCAATCTACTCATTTCAGCACATTCCAATATTTTCTTAATAATTTCCTCCTGTGATGGTACTTTCTCATTTTTCCAGTTTTTGGCAAATACAATCCTAGCCGCTGTTAATACATTTACAATCAGGTATTTCAATTCTTTACCATATATTTCAGGTAAAATTCCCAGTAAAAATATCTCTGGTTTCAAGTCTATATGCTTTTTTTGTCATTTTTTCCAACCATGTGTGGATTTTAGTCCAATATTTTTTGGCATCTGCACAAGCCTACCACATATGGTAATATGAGCCAGGTACTTGATGACATTTCCAACATTTTTCAGATTTATTCTTGAGCATTCTTGCTATTCTTGTTGGGGGAAAATGCCACCTGTAAAACATCTTATACAAATTTTCTTTATATGCTGTTGACCATGTCATTTCATAATTTTGAGACCACCGTTTTTGCCATTTCTCTAAATCAATCCCATATCCAAAATTCTTCCCCCAAGCAATCATTGTTTCTTTAACTTGTTCTTCTTCTAGTTTAATTTCTAATAGATATCCATACAATTTTTTAATCACCTTTTCATCAGTACCTGTCAAAATCTTATCTAAATCAGTCAATTTATCATAGAAACCTTCTGTTTTAGAATCTTTATCATACCTAGAATGTATTTGCGCATATGAAAACCAATTCATCTTTATACCTTGTTCCTCTAGTTTTTGCATAGATTTAAGTTCACCCTTTTCATTCAATATTTCACCATATCTAACTGTTTGTTCCTTTTTGTATATTATAGGATAAGAAAAAGCTTCAATAGTCGATAGCCAGACTGGAATTTTCAAATAACATTGCCTTTTAGTCTTCTCCCAGTTTAACCACAGAGACTCCCGTACATAATGTCTTCTAAAGTACCCCTGTGTTTTAGTTCCTTTATACCGTAAAAAAGCATACCACCCCAACAACAGATCATGTCCTTCTAGTGTCAACAATCTAGCATTTCTTAATGTTATCCATTCCTTAACCCACATCAAATTTGTAGCTTGGTAGTACAACTCCCAGTTAGGCAAACCAAATGCTCCTCTTATTCTAGCATCTTGCAAAAGTTTTAATTTTATTCTCGCTTTCTTACCTTGCCATATGTATTTCAACACAATTTTATTTAAATCTTCAAAGTAATCTTTTCCAAGCCTAATTGGAATTGTTTGAAACAAATATAAAATTCTGGGTAGTATATTCATCTTGATTGTTGATATTCTCCCTATTAATGACAGTTGTAAATTTTCCCATTTTGCCAAATCTAGCGCTATCTGCTGCTTAAGTTTAATATAGTTATTCTCTTTTAGTGTATTACATCTTGCTGTCAAGATGTCATCTTGTATCCCCAAGTACTTGATCTTATTCGTGACCTGGATTTTTAATACATCCGCCAGTTCTTCCTTTTGTCTTAATAGCATATTCTTTGTCAAAATCTTTGTTTTGTCTTTGTTTATTTTCAAGCCAGCCACCTTCCTGTATACCTCTATCTTGCTGGCATTGTTATTGTTTGTAACGTTTGTCTCGGCTGCACTTTCCTGCTCAAGGCGCATAAGATGCTTAAGTGCCAGGATGAGAGCATAGAAGCGCCCTGGGGGCCAATCAGTTATGGCTTCTGTTCTTCTGCCCTCGGACGCCCAAGTGGGCACCTGCCTTTCCTTGAGGAGAGGAGCACTGGGGAAGGGCTGCTCCAGGCAGCGGCTGGGCAGCTTCCGGCTCCTCTGCTCCCAGATAATGGCTCTGTTGTTAATCCTTGCGAACCATGCGAATGGCACCGCCGTTCTGAGAGAGGGATTGCCATCGCCTCCTGCAGAGCCCAGCCTGGAGCCTCCCCGGCTGCGCAGGGTCACCTGTCCTCTCTTTGCTCAGGCCAGCTGAAGCAACTCTCCATCCTGAAGGTGGACCAGAACCGTCTCACCGAGGTGACCGAGGCCATCGGGGACTGTGCAAACCTGTCGGAGCTTATCCTCACCGAGAACTTGCTACAGGTGGGTGTGCAAGCAGGCTGTGCCTGCTCTGTGCCTTAGGTAGCTGCTCTCTAGGTGGGCTAGCTGGTCTGCTAAGGATGGTGGTCTTATGCCTCCCCCCCCCCCGGATGCTCTTCTCTCAGACCCTCCCCAGGTCTCTGGGGAAACTCGCCAAGCTGACCAACCTCAACGTGGACCGGAATCGCCTGACGGTGCTTCCAGCAGAGATTGGGGGCTGCAGCAGCCTGAACGTCCTCTCCCTTCGAGACAACCGCCTGGAATTGCTGCCCCCGGAGCTTGCTGGCACCACTGAGCTGCACGTCCTGGACGTAGCAGGCAACCGGTACGGCTGGGGTGGGGAAGGGGGGAGCAGGAGGGAAGACGTTCAGGCTTGGTTGAGAACTGGCGCCCAGGGCACATGCACAGCCCCCCTCGTGCGTCCCCCCCCACTCTGTGTGTGTGTCCGCCTTGTTTCCAGGAGGGCCTGGAGGTGGCTAAAGACGGCAACCTTTTGCCAGTGACTGGGCAGAGAGCCTCTCTCGGACATGCCGTAAAACGTATCGATTTCATGCTTAGAATGAAACAGCCCATCGTCACCTGAAATCCAATCAGTGAGTGAAGATCTCGGGAGCAATTAGCAATTAGTCTCGTAGCCTGAGTATAAACAAGAGCCACGCGGGTAAGCCAGACAGGTTGCCCTCGACTTACAACTGTTCCACAACCCTTCAGAATTCTGGCATGGCTGAGCGAAGGGACACCCGAGCCCCTTCCGAAGTTCCAGGCGTTGCAGCGTCCCTTCGTGATGAAAACGTAGCCTCTTTGCAGCGCCCCTGCTCTTAAGACGGCAGGAGCTCTGCAAGTCTCCCCCCTCCGCGGGCCTCATCTGGCTAGGCCCACTGGGCAGGAGCCTCCCTCCCACCCACCCACCCCGTCCTGGCCCTCTCCTGGGGCCCGGCTGCGTGGGTGCAGTGGCCGCCTTCCCCCTCTGTGCCGCTGCTGACAAGCATGCTCAGCCGACGTGAAGCACAGCTACGGTGGGACCCTAGCCCTTGCGACGTTTCCCAAAGGAGTGTGATGACCTGTAGTCTCTCAAAATAACCCCAAACCCAAAACATACATTAAAGTCCCGTAAAGCCTTCAACTTAACTTCACTGTTTTATTAGGCACAGTTTAAAGTCACAAAAGTAAATAATGAGGCAAAAAGAAAACCAAAACAAACCGCATTGACGAGAGTTCTGAAGCAAGCCGAGATAATTAATCATACATTCCAGAAAGATAACCGAGGAGAGTCCATGGGAAGAACGCCAGCAAAGATAAACCTCTTTCAAAGTAAAACTTTGACTCCAGCAATTCTCACTGCGCAGTTACAAACTTATATACGTAGCTCCTAGCTGCAAGCCACGAGGAGGATCATGGTAATCTCCTCTGGAGTAGACCTCGCTTTTCCCTGATCCTCTCCTCCCTGCGTGACCTAGGATGGATAGGGGATGGGCCTGGATCCTCCTCTGACTGCTCAACCGGCCTCTGCCCTTCCCCAGCCTCCTCCACTACCTCCGGAGCCCCACTCCCACTCCCTGTTGGCTGTTCCTCCTCTTCCTCAGAGTCGGACTCCGCCAGGGGCATGACAAGGAGAAAGAGCCACAGGCCGTGGCAAGGGCTGGCCCTCGTCCTGCAAGGTTTCTTGTCAGCCTTCGGGAAAGGCCTGGGGGCTGCCCTTCCTCCAGGGAGGCTCTGGAGCTCCCATCTCTTTTTCCGCTCACTCCTGCTTTCCTGCAGGGCTGGCTGAATTAGCAGGCAGGGAAGCATCCACTGGCACTCCTCTGCCCTGGAAGGGCCCAGGGCCAACGGTAGGCCTCTGCTGGTCAGAGCTCCCTCCGTTGTCCACAACTGGTTGCTCTCCTCCCAAAGGCGTAGCTCCCTGGCCTGCGAAGGCTGCCCGAGGACAGTCTCTCTGGGACGGGGTGTCGGCTCGAAGATGGTGGTAGCAATCCTACTTCCCAACCTATGTTCCATGGAATACCAGAAGGTTCCCGGAGAGGCTGTTCGCTCGTGGATGCACCTGTTTTTATTGCTAGAGCTGAAAACGAAACGGCCCACAGCCTGCAATAAAAATGTTTGAAAACCTCAGATAAAGATATTTCTTCCAGCCTACTTAGAAAAGCTGGACATAAGTGAACAAGTAGATGGAAAAGAAATTGGTCTGAGGGTGTAGAATATAAATTTCTCCTCCCTGTTGATGACTGGGAAAAAGATTTCATTGGGTTGTTTGTTTAATGAATTGTAATGAACAGGACACTTTTACCACGCAGCTCAGAGTAAATAAAGTCATCAGCGCAATAGTAATGCAGATAGTCCTTGGCTTCCGGTCACTACATAAGCTAAGTGATCTGGTCATTAAGTGAGTCACCACAGGACCATGCCTGATGTTATGGCCATTTGTGCCGCAGGGGCAAGTGCATTACAGGGCTTCCTCCCCTGACTTGGCTCCTGGGAAGCTGTCCGAGCCGTCACAAGCAGCAGCCTCACCCCTCCTGTCCTCTGCAGCTGGCCAGGTGCCACGCAGTATAGGGCAGCTGCTGCAGCAGCCCCCTCACCGAGGGAAGAAGGGGGCATGAGTACCTCATTCCTGAGAACTCACTTTGCCCAGAGCTCTCTCAGCCCCCCCCCCCCCCCCAAAGTGTAGGGGGAAAAGTCAGAGGAGATGCCCTCCCCATTTAAGGTGGCAGCTTTTGGACCCGGGACGGACGGACACACACACACACACACACACACACACGAAGGGAGGCACCTCCCTGACGGCTCTCCATGGATGCAGGCTGCAGCACTTGCCCTTCGCCCTGACCAACCTGCACCTGAAGGCCCTCTGGCTGGCAGAGAACCAGTCGCAGCCCATGCTCAAGTTCCAGACAGAGGAGGATGAGAAGACGGGGGAGAAAGTGCTCACCTGCTACCTGCTGCCCCAGCAGCCGTCTGCCAGCTCAGGTAAAGGAGCTGTGGCGGGACCCAGGCTCTCCAGGGGCGTGGGGCAGCCCACCTCGCCCTCACTTCCAGCACCCCTCCTGGTCTCCCCTGCAGAGAACCTCCTGCAGAACAGCCTGGACGAGAGCTGGGCAGAGGCCAACCCCAACCGCATCAGCGTGATCCAGTTTCTGGAGGACTCCCAAATGGAGGAGGAGGAGGAGGAAGCCGGCACTGAGAAGAGGGTAATGGCTGAAGGAGAGTGGGAGGACTGGACAGCTGGGGGAGGGGGGGAAACCGGCTTCCCTAGCCTGGTTGGCAGGGAGGGGCAGCTGATCCTCCTGCTTCCTGGAGGGAGCAGCCGGAGCCTTGGAGGGGCCTTGCCATGCCCTCACCTGCCTGCTTCTCCGCCCCCCCCCCCCCCGTGGTTTTGGCAGGGGCTGCAGCGCAGAGCCACTCCGCACCCCAGCGAGCTGAAGTCCATGAAGAAGGGAATGGAAGTGCGGCGCAGTGAGGCCTCCGTGGCAGCTAGGCAAGACTCCGCTATCTCTGAGGTGGGCATCGGTGGCTTCTGCCAGTGGTCAGGTGGCCTAGCAAAGAGATGCCCGCTTGGCCCTGGTTCACGTGCGCCCTGACCTCCGCACCAGCCTGGTGTCTTGGAGAGGAGTCCAAAGAGGGCGGCTCCTGGGCCTTGGCAGTCCTTCCTCTCCTTGCCTTGTGCTTCAGAGGGGCAGTTTTAAATGGGGGGGTTTAGTGAGGAGAGTGGGGGCCTCAACGATTGACCCTGGGGTGGGTGGGGAGAGGCTGTCATCCAGCTGAGGGCCATGTTCAGACTGGGCCAGGCTAGCTGGTTCTGTAGCAGATGGGTTGACATGTTGGTGCTGCAGCTACAGAGCACCCTGCCAGGACCCCCAATTATTCTCTCCGGATCCCGGAAAGGCGTCGGTGGTTTGGGAAGAGCGGCCTTGGGTCGTAGTCCCCAGCTTTGCTCCCGCCCAGGGGAGGTGGGCGAGGGGAGCCTCCCAGTGGCTCTGATGCCCCCAGGGCTGCCAGGGCTGTGCCCAGGCACTCAACTGGCTCCCCTCCCACACAGGGCAAGAGGCTAAGTGCTGCCTCCAACCACAGCGAAGACTCCCGCGTCTCTGGTAGCACCCTCTCTGCCAGTGGAGGCCCAGAGGAGGGGCGAGAGGTGCCACAGCCAGAGGGCGTGGCAGAGGCTCAGCTGGAGGGAGGGCGGAAGCTGGTGGCCGAGGAAAAGGCGTCCCCAGAGGAGGGGGCCACGCTGGAGGAGACGGTGGGGGACCAGGAAGAGGAGCCGGAGTTGGACTACTCTGAGGTAGGAGCCGGGAGGCCTGCCAGGCAGCTCCCCCAAAGGCCCCGGGCCCCGGTCGCTTTCCCCGCTGTGCCTGAGGCCGCTGACCCGAGCTGGCCACTGTGGCCGCCTTTCCGGGCCCTTTGGGACAAGGAAGGCACCTCACCTGCTTCTCTCCGAAAGCCTCTTGGCAGCCCAAGGGTGGAGCGGAGCGGGCGAAGGAAGGGCAGCGGGTCAAGCAGAGGCCCAGGCTCTGGAGGCCATGATGTTGGGAGCATCCTGGTGGTTCTGGCCCGTTGCTCTTCCGTGACCCTGGTGGCAACACAGCTCTTTTGGAGACCTTAGGGATGAAAAAGTCACAATCCCCAGCAGTCATTTTGTCCTTAGTTTTTCTGTACTCATAATTCCTGGGTTTGGTTGGCATCCTTCCTTTTTATTAACACTCAATTTCTGGAAGCTGCCCAGAGTCCAGCTTGGTTTCAGGCAACCGGATGCATTTTGCCAAGAGGGAAAAGCTCAGAAGCTTAGCTGGGTGTTCGGCCCAGCCGCACATCCGGTGGGCCAGCCGGCCCCTCCCCCCCCCCCCCCCCCCCCCAGCTGGCAGCAGAGCTGGCAAGGAGAGCAGGGTGGTTGCGTGGGGCCCCCCGGCTGCCCCTGCCCGGCTCCTCCGAGTCCTTTCCCTGCCTCTTCCACACAAGCAGAGGGGCTGTCCAAGGAGAGACCCGCACCACAAGCAGCGTGCGGCTCAGGAGGAGCAGGCGGCACAACGATCCCGCCGGAGAGCGATGGAGAGCAAGGGCCAGCCGTGTCTCCTTTTCTGGAGTGGAGGGCCCTTTGCCAAGAGCCACCGTCCGTCCTACAGCCAAGACCTCGGGGCTGACGAGGGGGAAACCACCCCAGGCGAGGGATGCATGCGTGGCTTCCTCAAGCAGCCCAGAGGGGTTGCCTGGCGGGCAGGGCAGCCCTGCGTTTCCCCCCATGGCCTGGGAGGGGCCAGCCTGACCCTCCCTGCCTCGGCGGGTGGTGGTCTCTTTGCAGCCCACGGTGCACTTTGCGGAAGACACCCTGGTTCGCAGTGAGGACGAGGACGAGGAGGCCCCCCCATTCCCCACGGGAAAGCAGCGGCTGATCCGCAAGGACACGCCCCACTACAAGAAGCACTTCCGGATTGCTCAGTTGCCCCACCCGGAGGCGGTGGTGGCCCTCCTGCAGGGCTTTGGGGCCAGTGGGGGCCCCCAGGAGGAGGAGGAGGAGGAGGAGAAGCCGGAGGAGCAGGAGGAGGCCCTGGAGCAGGCAGCATGGGGCCAGGCAGAGGTGGCCAGCGAGGGGGGCCCAGCGGTCCCACCCTCGGTCAAGGTGAGGGCCTTCCGGGGAGGGGGACTGATGGGCGGAGGCTGGGAGGGAGACCCAGGCCTTCTCCCTGCTGGCCAGGCCGGCAGGGTCACCCGCTCCACTGCCTGGAAATGGCAAAAGCACCTGGCCACGCTCAGTGCTCCCCCCGCAGCCCCCCGGAGGGCGGGGGCGTCCGAGGTGGACCGCAGGTGGGGTTTTGGCTGCTCATCGCTCTCTCTCCCCCTGGGGAGTCCCTGGCGCAGGAGCCCTCCAGGGTCGGGGCATAGCGTCTCTGCCCCCCAGACCCAGAGCGGCCTGGCTTCCGGTTGCCTGCAGCTGCCTCTGGTACGTGCAGCTCTTCGCCTGGCCTTGCCCAGAGGGGCAGCGAAGGGCCCTTTCCCAGGGTCGGGGTGGGGGAATGGGACAGGGAGGAGGAGGAGCCCCCACCCTGCCCGCTCTTGCTCTCTCCCCGCCTTCTCTCTCTCCGGTGGGGTCTTTCGGTTCTGGGTGGGGTCTGCCTGCTTGCCTGCCTGCCTGCCTCTCCCCGGTGGTGGTCTGGGGCTTCCCCACTAATCTGCCCTCTGCCTCTGCCGGTTGCTGTCCTAACAGGGGGTGTCGTTTGACCAAGCCAATAATCTGCTGATTGAGCCCGCGCGCATTGAGGAGGAAGAGGTCTGTACCGCCCCGCTGGGAGGGTTTGTCTCTCTCCCTGATCCAGCCACAGGTGCAGGGGGAGCTCCTGGACCACCCTGCCCGCTGGCAGCTCCTCCTTCCCAGCCCCCTCCTCTCCTCTGCCTGAGCTGGGGAGGGGGCTCACTGAGCCCCTCAGGGAAGAAAGGGCCCGGAGGGGGCAGAAAGCTGACGGGGGCAGCCCCTTCTCGGAGGCGGCGGCTCCGGGACCATCCTTGGGCCCAGCATTTTGGAGCTGCTTTTCGCGATCCCTAAGAGAGATCCGTGGTGGCCCCGTGGGCTTCTTGCACTGCTGCTCCCTGTGGCCTGGCGCCCCACTGCGGCCAGAGAGCCCTTCCTCCCCCGAGCCTTTGCGCCCCCCCCCCCCCGCTGCTCCCTCTTCCTTTCACGCCTGGTGCAGCGTTGGTGGCTGGGCTTCTGCCTCTCGCCTCCCTCCTGCTTTCAGAAAAAAAGGGGGGGTGGTCGTTGAGATTGCAGGTCAGAATGGCTGCTCCACCTGATCCCCTGGGCCGGGGCTCTGATCCCCCCGCTTTCCTTTCTCTGCCCCTCTGCTTCCCTTCTAGCCCTGCCGGGTCCTCTGGGGAGCTGCTGGCTTCCTGGGCGGGGGGCTCTGGGCATCATCTGCGAAGGGGGGTGCCTGGGGGGAGTTTTGCTCATTGTTCCTGGTTGCCACAGATGAGTGTGCACGGGGGGGGGAGGGGGGGCAACGAGAGCAGCCTGTGACAGGTGTGCTGGTCTCTGGCTGGCTGGCTTGGCTTCTGTCCCTCTAGGGCTGCCCCCCCCCCCCGGTTTTGCCCCCCCTCCCCCGCAGGCCTCCCCCTTCAGTTCCTCTGATCTCTAGTGGGGCTCCTGCCGCAGTGAGGCCAGGGGGCTGTTTCCCAGCCAGTCGTGCCCCCCGTCCTCACAGCCAGCCTCCTCCCTGGCCTCTCTGCCTTCACCCCAGTCGAAGCCGTGGGTCAGGAGGGCCCCTGCCCAGGCAAGGCTCCTCACTGGCTGCCTGTCTGGAGCAGGCTTCCCAGGCGAAGGTTCCCCAGGAAGCAGGTGGGCCCCCGTGGGCGGTGGGTCCTCTGGCCAACCCAGGACGAGGGCAGGCACCCCCTCCCTTGCACCCATCGTTCCCGTCCACCCCCTCTGCTTGGTTTCCAGCTGGCTCTAACGATCGTGCGGCAGACGGGCGGCCTGGGCATCAGCATTGCGGGGGGCAAAGGCTCCACCCCCTACAAGGGGGACGATGAGGTGAGAGTCGGGGCAGCCCTTCAGGGGTGGGTGGCTCTGGGGCGGCTGTTGGGACAGTCCCCAGAGACTTCTCCTCCTTCTCACCCCTCCCCCAGGGCGTCTTCATCTCCCGGGTGTCAGAGGAGGGACCTGCAGCACAGGCCGGGGTGCGCGTGGGGGACAAGCTCCTGGAGGTAGGATCACAGGGGCAGCCGCGGTGCTGGGGGCAGCGGTGCTGGCCGGCTGTTCCTCCTGCTAGCAGGACAGGGATGCCTGCCTTGGCCAAAGGGCTTTGGGGCTGGTGGCCACCCCATCTCGGCAGCCACTGCCTGCTCTGCCCTGTTGGTCCCTGGCCCAGCCGCCTGGAGGGCCTGAGCTTTGGGGGCCGTTCGTTCAGGGGGCTCTCCCTGCCCCTCAGGTGAACGGGGTGTCCCTGCACGGCGCTGAGCATCACGTGGCGGTGGAAGCCCTGCGGGGCTCGGGCAGCAGCGTCTCCATGACGGTGCTGCGGGAGCGGATGGTGGAACCTGAGAACGCCATCACGGTGACACCGCTGCGGCCTGAAGACGATTACAGCCCGCGGGAATGGCGTGGAGGGCTGCTCTTGGCCGCAGGGGCCAAGGACACCACCCTGACCGAGCGACTCTCAGCCTGCCTGGTGCGGAACGAGCGGGGCCTCGGCTTCAGCATTGCCGGGGGCAAAGGCTCCACCCCGTACCGGCCAGGGGACACGGTGAGACGAGAGCGGGGGGGGGAGCCCTTTCCTGCTGGTGATACTTGACACCCCCCCCCCCGGTCCCCTGGAGGGTTACTTCTGGGTCCTGCTGACATGGGAATGTTCCCAATGGGCGGAGGCCCCCACTCCCACTCCCTCGAATGGGGAGACCCCCCCTTGATCCGGCCCTTCCTTCCCAGGGGATCTTCATCTCCCGGATTGCGGACGGGGGGGCTGCCCACCGGGAAGGGACGCTGCAAGTGGGCGACAGGGTGATCTTGGTGAGCAAAAGGGCCGGGGGGGGGGGGGGCCCCCCCCCCCCCGCTGGACGCTCGGAAAAAGCTCCTTCAGCTGAGCCAGTCTCTCCTGACCCCCACCCCATGTAGACCCCCTTCCTTCCCCTCCCCCACAGCCGTGCTGGGAACTCAGGTGGAGGGAAGGGAGCCCCCAGACGGCCTCGTCAGTGCCAGCTTCCATCTCCCTGCGCCCCCCCACACCCACCCCCCCCGCGCGAGGGGGGGGACCCCCCCCCCCCCCCCCCCCACACAGCTCAGGTGCCCCCCACCTCCATGAGCGAGCCGCTGGGAGGCAGCATAGAGCCGGCTCCCTTCTGGAACCCCGAGCCTGCCTTTTGCCCCTCCCCCTCCGCTCACGCTGATTTGCGGCCCTTTTAGATCAACGGGGTGGACATGACGGAAGCCCGGCACGATCAGGCTGTAGCCCTGCTGACCGCCTCCCCGCCCACCATTGCTCTGCTGGTAGAGAGAGAGGCGGCACCCCAAGAGAAGGACCTGCCTGTGGGGCCACGAGGGCCCCTGGCCTCCTCGCCACCGCCTCTGCCCCCCCAAGGAGAGACCCTGCTGGAGGAGGCGGCAGTGTGCCGCCCCAGGAGCCCGCTGCCCGAAGGCACGGAGAGCCAGTACCCCACCGAGGTGGGTGGCCGGGGCTGCTCTGGGCTGGCATGGGCCTCTGGGCTCCCTCCCCCACCGGGAGAGGAGGCAGCTGGCCCCCCAGTGACCGCACGGAACCCCCGGCCTGTGCTTGCAGGAGGTTTGCCTGGTCAAGGCCGGGGGGCCCCTTGGCCTCAGCATCGTAGGAGGCAGTGACCACTCCAGCCACCCCTTCGGCATCCACGAGCCGGGAGTCTTCATTTCCAAGGTAGAAGCGCTGGCCGCCCCTCTTCCCCCCCCCCCCCCCCGAGTGCTCAGGCGCCCAGCAGAAGGGCGCAGTTTTCCTCCCCTCCCCCCAGGAGAGTGGAGAGGGCTACGGGGGGCTGGGGCCCGCTTTAGGGGCTCTCCGGCAGAACTGCCTCCCTCCTGCCCCTTGTGCAGGTCATTCCACACGGCCTGGCCTCCCGCGGCGGCCTGCGTGTGGGAGACCGGATCCTGGAGGTGAACGGCCTCGATCTGCGCCAGGCAACCCACCAGGAGGCTGTCAGCGCTCTGCTCTGCAGCACCCCGGAGCTGCGGATGGTGGTCAGGCGAGACCCTCCCCCGCCTGGAATGGAGGTAGGGAAGCTCTGCCCCCCTTTGGTCGAGGCCGGAGAGCCTCCTCTGCCCCACAGAGTGCCCCCCAAGACGCCAGTTTGTGTGTCCTGGCAGGAGATTTGCATTGAAAAGAGGCCTGGAGAGAAACTGGGCATCAGCATCCGAGGTGGCGCCAAGGGCCACGCGGGGAACCCCTTCGACCCCACCGACGAGGGGATCTTCATCTCCAAGGTACTGGTGGGGGGGGGCAGCAGAGGGGACCCCTCTCTTTCCCCCCAGGCAACCCAGAGCTTTGCGCCCACTTGGTTTGTTCCCAGCGTGTCCCAAGGGGCAGGGCAGCCCCTGGACCCAAAGCAGCAGCTTTCCCCCCCTCCCCCACTGGAGCAAGGGGGTCTTCTGAGGGGATCCCGGGGGGGCATGGGGTCACACCGGCACCGTCCCACTTCTTGGGTGCCTTTCAGGTCAGCTCTGCTGGGGCAGCGGCCCGCGACGGCCGGCTGAGGACGGGCTTGCGCATCCTGGAGGTGAACCAGCAGAGCCTGCTGGGCATGACCCACGCGGAGGCTGTCCAGGTCCTGCGGGCCGTGGGGGACCGGCTGTTGGTGCTGGTTTGCGAGGGCTTTGACCCCAAAGCCATGGCTGCCCTTGAGGTGGGTGGCCGCTCGGTTGGTGCCCTGGCATGCCCCTCCTCCCCCTCCCCCCCCACATGGCCCGGCCCTTTCCCAGGGAAGGGTGCCCCGCCCTCTGGCCGAGCCTGCCCTGAAAGCCCCTCCTCCCCTCTCCAGCTGTCTCCCGGAATCATCGCCAACCCTTTTGCGGCCGGCATGGGGCGCAAGAACAGCCTGGAGAGCATCTCGTCCATCGACCGGGACCTCAGCCCGGAGGAGGCGGACCTTCTGCAGAAGGTAAGGGCGGGAAAGGGGCCGCTGGGGACGCAGGGGGCCCCTCAGGGTCCATCCACGGGAGGGGCGGAAGTGGCAGCCGTCACCCTCGGCCTCCCTGGCCCCTCACTGGTCTTGGGCTGCTGGACCCTCCCTCTGTGCACGGAAGCCACCCCGCCCAAGGCTCCAATGGCCGCTGCTCTTGGACCAGGCCTCCCCCAGGAGCTCCCCCCTCAGGGTGGGTCGGGGGGCTCTTTCCACCCACCTGGAAAGAGGGGAGTGGGTGGGCCCCAGCTGTCCGCATGGCTTGAGGAGCAGAGGCCGAGGGGGGAGGAGGAAGGCAGCTCTGCTTCCCTTCAGTTCCCGCTTGGCCTTCTGTCTTCTTCCTTGGGGGGGGGGGCAACTTTTGATGAGGCACCATCCCCCTCCCAGGCAGCTTAAATTGCCGCCACCGTCATCGTTGCCACCAAGGCAAAAAGGGAGAAGCACACACACTCACAACACAGTCAGTCTCCTTTCGTTTTTTTCCCCCAAGATCCCCCAGTCTCGTAAGTTTTCCTTCAGGGCCAACCCCGATCACTTTGTTTGCTAGTTTTGTGCCTTTTTCTTAAGCAGGGAGAGAGGGTTGTATTGTGTGTTGTTGCTGCTGCTGCTGCTAATCACAAAGGTTGCTGCCTGCTTCTCCCCGGAGGATGATCCAAAGAGTTTCCAAAGCCACCGTAGGAAGCGCACAAGAGAGAGCAGATGACCACGATGGGGGGGGGGGGGGAAAAAGGGGGGAGACAAGGGCCAGCCTGCCGGCGGGATGGTCCTTACGGAGAAGCAGCTGTGGGCAAGGCAGAGGGGCAGGCATGGCCTTCGGCCAAGCAGACCTGCCGGGCTGAGGCCTACAGGGGCGGGGGAGGGGTCCCCTGAGGCCTCAGGGGTCCCCCTGCCAACCGCAGCAGGGCCTTCCCTCCAGCGTGGTCTTCTGCGAGGGGCTCCGCTGTCTTCTGCCCCCTTTCAGGAAAGGGGAAAGGGCTGGCCTTGGCCTTTGCCCCTTCAGTCCTGTCCCATTTCCTGCTTTTGAACGCTTGGCATCTCCGCCAGCCAGCGGCATCCTGGGGACAGTCCTGGGGGGGCCTGCCAGGTTTCTGGCGCTGCTGGAGAGGCTGCTTGGCTGGCTTTGTGCCTTTCTGCAGCCCGAAGGCCGGTGAGGGCAGAGAGCTGCCTTCAGCTGGTGCCCCTGGCTGATGCCCCGTGATTTGCCACCTATCTCGCCCTGGGGCCTCGAGTTTGGCCAAGCGGGTTTCCGGCCACTTATCCCCATGGCCAGCACTGGCTGCGCTCAGCTTCTGGGGACCGGAGTTCTCTTCTGCGGGAGGCGCTGCTGGAGCCCTGGGGCTGCGGGCAGAGGAGGATCCGGACTTGGAGGCACGGAGCCCTTGAGCCCAGGCAGGGCAGCCGCGTTCAAGTCCCTCAAGGGAAGCCACAGGGAGGAGCCTTCCAAGCTCCCCCAAACCAGGGACAGAAATGGCTGGATTGATTGCAGGCACAGGCTGTCCTTTCCTTAGCGGCCTTTGAGTCTGGCCATGACTGTTGCAAGTCATGATGGTTGGTGGTTTTACGACCTTTATATGCCAGGGCCATGGTCATTAAGCAAAACCCATTGTTTGCTATGGGGATTTTGTTTCCAGGAAACAGAATTAAATAGTTTCCAGGAAAAAAACATTGTAAATAGCAGTCAGGTGATCAGCATCAATAGGATCTGATTGCTGAGTGCCCCAAATATGGACACTAGACTGAGCGTGTGGGGGGCGGAGAGGTTCTCGGAGTCTTAGTGGACAACCCGCTAAATAGGAGCCAGCCGTGTGCAGCAGCAGCAGCCAAAAAAGCCAATGCAATCCTAAACTGCATTAACAGAGGGATACAATCGAGATCCAGGGAGGTACTAAGACCACTCTGTAAAGCCTTAGTAAGGCCACACCTAGAGTACTGAGTCCAGTTTTGGTCACCACACTATAAAAAAGATGTTGAGACTCTGGAAAAAGTGCAGAGAAGACCAACCAGGATGATGAGGGGACTGGAGGCTAAAAGATACGATGAATGGTTGCAGGAACTGGGCCTGGCTAGTCTAGGGAAGAGAAGGACCAGGGGAGACAATACTTGAAGGGCTGCCACAGAGAGGAAGAAAGGGGTCAAACTATTTTCCAAGGCACCCGAAGGCCAGACAAAGAACAATGGATGGAAACTGAGCCAGGAGAAATTCAGCCTGGAAATGAGATATTTTCTGACAGGGAGAACAATCAACCCATGGAACAGAAGTTGCCTTCGGAAGTTATGGGAGCTTCATCCCTGGAAGTTTTCAAGAAGAGACTGGACTGCCCTCTCTCAGAAGTGGTGTAGGGTCTCCTGCTTGGGTGGAGGGTTGGACTAGATGACCTCCAAGGTCCCTTTCAACTCTGTTAATCTGTAATGTCATAAATTGGGAACAGCGGCATAAGTAGAGGAGGTCTGTCATAACTTGGAATGGTTGCCAAGCGACCACTTACTCCAGAACAAACATCTGGAAAGAGTTGGAATTCAGAGGGATTTTGGATGAGTGAAAAGCAAACCCTCCTCCTGCGTTTTCCCAATTTTACAGGGAGTTTTAAGTAAAACAGGTGACTGTTTTGGTCCCCAAATGCCCCCAAAGCTCCTCCCCCCATGACTTTTGGTCGTTCTGTTGGCTTGCGGTCACAGGAGGCTTAAAAATGACCCCCCCCCATTTTGCTGCCAATATGGTGGTTTTTGGGGGGGGGGGGGATAACCCAGAAGGGAAACTAGGGGAGGGGCTGGGGGGTGGCCTGGGATGAAGAGCTGCTCCCCTGAGGCATCTGTGGGGCTGCCCGAGGCTGGGGGCTCCTCCCTGGCCACTGTTTGCTGGGTCTGCTTGCGCCCTGCGAGGTCAGAGCCAACCCTGACCCTCCCTCTTTCCTTCTCTAGGATGGGGTCAGCACAGAGCCCCTGCAGCTGGATTACCGGACGTTGGCAGCCCTGCCCAGCAACAGCAGCCGCCTCCAGAAAGGCCCCCGCAGCGTGAGTGACAGGGTGGGCCCCTTTGGGCGGGGAGGGGGCGGCGGAAGCCTGCCCTGGCTGTGGGTGCGGATGTTGTCAAGTTTGCCTCCCCCCGTGGCTTTGCCTCTGTTTGACTGGCGTGGAAGGGGCTGCTGGAGGGCCCAGGGGGGCCCTGGGGGGGTTGTCACCTCTGGCTGGCAGAAGGGGGCAGGCCCTGGAGTCGGTTCCCAAGCAGAGGAGGCCTCCTGCCTTGGCGTCTCTCTCTGCCACCAAGTTTGCCTCCCCAGTGGAGCAGGTAGTGGAGGAAAGCGGGGGCGGGGGGGGCATGGCTCAGGAGTTCAGGGAGGCTGTGTGGGTAGGGGACTAAGCCCTTTGGCAGAAGCAGGGTCAGGGCTGTAGTGGCCCAGAGTTGTATCCTCTGGAGGGCCCAGGGAGGGCGGGGGCGATGTGCTTGGGGGCCTGGAATCAGGATGGGCCCTGTGTGCTTGCCAGCCTTCCCTGCATCCTGGGTGGCAGGCAAGGCGGCCTCCGCTCTGGCCCTGTTCCCCCCCCGGTCCCTCGCCAGAGCTTTTCGCGGGGCCACCTTCGGCGTTCCTCCCTCCCACCCACTTCTCTTCTTGCCAGTTTCTGCTTTTGGTGAGATGGAAAAGGACAGGTGGCCTCTTCCCCTGCTGGACGTCCCCCTGGCTCAGGCTTCCTCCTTGGACGTGGGGCAGGCGGGTGGCGCCAAGGCGGTGCTTTCAGAGAAGCAGAACTTGGTGGACTCCCAGCCCATCCCTTTCAGCGCCAACCCCTTTGTGTTGGCCGGTCGGCAGGGCCCGGCGTGCCTGGGGGGGCCACCCCTTGGCTATGGCCGGGGGGGACTGCTGAAGACCAGCCTCTACACCAAGGCAGGCGGCCGTGTGGCCGAGCAACTGGCGTGGCGTGGTATGGCGTGCCGTGGCGTGGCGGGTTCCCGCATGGTGCTGCCTCTTTTGCTGTGGGGAGAAGGGGGAGCTAAGGCTGGCCTTGCCACAGGGGCTCCCCTCAAAAGGGAGGGGAATCTTCTCAGGGAGAGGCTCCCTTCGGTGTGGTCTCGCCTCTTAAACTCCAGCTTAATCTCTGCTGATTCGCTTTTCTAAGGAGTGTGTGTGTGTGTGTGTGTGTGTGTGTGTGTTTAACTTTGTATGGTACTGATTTTAGTTTTTGCTAAGTAAGGACTTTGCAAAATGCAGCAATGAACCAAACCACCCAAAAGCCGACCTGGGTAACAAGGCAACCGAGAAGGAGCCCAAGAGCTCCTCCGTTCAGAGGCATTGAGGGGGCAGAGGGGGCTGCCCAGACAAGCCGCCTGCCAGTGCTGTGGGTCCATAGGCTGTGGAGGTTGGACCACTGAGTTACTGATCAATGGGTAAAGTCCAAATTTCTAGGATCTAGATTTAGAACACATTGACCTCTATGAACGTTCTGTCTCTGAACCAGAACATAAAGTAGTACCCGATCAGTTAAAAAAAAAAAAAAAAACCACCAGAACCCACTCAAGGAACGTTCCCTTCGGTTTCTTTGGCTCTACCACTCTCCAGCGTGGCCAGGAAGGTGCCTCTGGAGCCTTCTTCAAAGTCCAGTAAGTCCCTGGAGCACTGCTGGCTGAATTAAATTGCACAAAACTTACTTACTTGGGTTGATTAAGAGCTATCAAGTCAGTGCTGACTGCTAATGTGAACAAAGATAAGGTTTTCTCTACGACTCTTTCTCCCTTCCTCTCCCTTTGTCTCCCTCTCCCTTTCCCTCTCTCCCTTTCCCTGTCTCCCTCTCCCTTCCGCCCTTCTCTCCCCTCTCCCTTTCCCTCTCACTCTCTCCCCCTCTCTCTCCCTGCTCCCCTCTCTGTTTCAGCTCTTCCAATGGTGCCCCCATCAGCAGGGTATCTCAGTCCATCCAGCTCTCCGCTGGCCATCCCTGCCTGCCTTCTTTCCGGCCATCTTTGCATCCTGGGTCTGAAATAGTATAATTCAGTCCTGGTTGTTTGTGCTCCGTTTGTTTTCTTGGCTGCCTCAGACGTCTGCTCCCACCGGTTCCCTTCCCATCCTGCTTCTTCCGTGTCCATTTCCACAGCAGGTGGCACGGAAAGCCTTCCCCGCATGGTTCTGATTTCGGAATTGAACGCACGGACGTAGAAGACCTACGCAGATAGTCCTCGGCTTTATGACTGGTTGTTTAACAGACATTCAGAATTACAATGCCCAGGAACAAGTGCTGTAAAGCATCACTGGTTAATGTAAAAGGTTGAGCCACCCGCCGTCCTTTACAAATTAGTGCAGCCGGGTCTTGGGTAGGCAAATGTTTTGGGGAGCTCAGGGACCCACCCTGAGATCTCCAAGGGGAGGCAGCTCCCCTCCACCCTCCGCAGTTGGGGGAGGGGTGTCCGTCCTCAGGGCCACCGCCTCCTTCTCTTGCAGGGCCTGGCAGTGGGGGAAGCCGAGTCCGCCCAGCGGGAGCCTCCCAGCAGCCAGCAGGTAGGGAGACTCTGGGGGGAGGCCCGGTCTGTGCCAGTTGCTCCTGGCAGCCGGTCAGACTCTCTTTCTCTCTCCGCTTCTTTCTCTGGCCTGGTCATTCTCCAGTGCTTGGCCCCGTCCCAGCCTTTCTGCCTGGTGGGCAAAGAGACACGTTTTGTAAGTGCCCCTCGGTTGCTGCCCTCTGCCTCCCCCCACCCCAGCTTCTCCGTCCTGCGACCTCAAGCGGTCAATGTGCAGCATGGGGAGGGGTGGCTTCCAGGGCCTGAGCAGCCAGTGCAGAGGGTCAGCCCTGGAATCCCTCTCGGTGTTCTCGTGTGGCGGTCCCCCCGCCTCTGCCTGCCCTGAGGTGCTCTTGGCTTCCATGTGCTCCGGGCAGCTCTCTGCTGGGCACAAGGCCAGGCTGCCCTCTGACCTGCTTCTCCCTCTGGGGTGCATGCAGACCAAGCCTGGGAGAATTCAGCCAGTCTCTCGCCTACGCCTGACCTCGGCCCTGGGCCCCGTGGAGGGGCAGGACAGTCCCAGCCCTTTTCAGCAGCCTGAGCTGGCCTCTAGCCCCAACGGTCTGGTGAGTGCTCAGGGAGAAGCCCCCGTTCTTGGCCTGCCGGCCTGCCCCATGCCGTCTCGGTGGGGCCTGTCCACTTGGAGAGGCAGGGTGCAGGCATCGTGGGGGTCGCACCAGAGCCCAGGCAGCCTCTAGCGGGGTCTTCCTGAGCCTTGGTGGCCCTCCTCGGCCAGTCAGTTGCCTTTCCCGACTCTCCCCATAGCCTCGGCAGTCCAGACCCCTCTCACCAAGTGAGGACCTCGCTCTCAGCGCCAAGCAGGCGTACAAGGCCTTGGCTGCCGTCCCAGGATCGCAGCTGCCGTTGGAGCCGGAGGTGAGGCAAGCTGGGCCCGGGCCCCAGGGGAAGTCCGTGGCCCCGACCTGTGCCGTGCTCATCCCGCGCCCTGCCCCATTCCTCCTCCCCCAGGAGCCGCCAGGCCAGAGTGATCCTGATCAGGGGGCCCCCGTCTCTTCCGAGGTAAGGCGCAGGGGAATGGGGAGCGGCCTCAGGGCAGGGTGCCTGAGCCCAGCTGACTCCGTGCCACCTCTGTGTCCCTGCTCCACAGAGCCAGTGGGTGGGCCGCCCGCACAGCCCGGAGCAGCGGACCTTCCGCGAGAGGCAGAAGTACTTCGAGCTGGAGCTGAAGCAGCCGCTGCCTGCCGGGAAGCCCCTGAAGCGAGTCTCTCTGGTTGGGGAGGAAGACCTGAAGAAAATGAAGGAGGAGGAAGGTGGGGCCCGCAGTGGGGTGGGGTCCTTCTGGCCGGCTGCTGCCAGAGGTGGGCCCCCCACCCTTGCCCACTCCTTGGGCAGGAGGCCCAGCAGTCCTGCCAGCTGAGGGGCTGCGCCAACTGCTTCCATGCCACCCCCCACCCCAGAGTCCCTGGGGAAAAGCAGGCCTTGGCTGCTGCCCTTGCTGGATCAGCACCCAGGGGGCGAGGGCCGCTGTGGGGCTCGGACCGGCGTCTACAGCCGGCCCTTTGGGAGCTGCTCTCGAAGAGGAGGAGGAGGACTAGCAGGGAGGGGAGAAGCCCAGCGACTCCCGTTCGGTCCGGGGTGCTTCTCCGTTGGGCTTGTGTGATGTGTTCATTGGGTTGCTCTCTCAAGTGCCTCCCTACCTAGGTGGCAGCCTCAGTCCCCGCCCCGTCCAGCTGCTGTTCCTTGGGGGCAATTCAGAGCACCTCCTCATCCAAGGGGCTCCCTGCTTTGACACACACACACACACACACACACACACACACACACACCGGCCTCTTTCTCAGCAGCTCGGAAACTCCAGCAGAAGCGAGTCCAGCTGCTGGAGGAGGAGGAGGAAGAGGAGGAGCAAAGCCGGGGGCCCCCCTCCAGCATCTTCATCGAGGGCGTTGAGTACAGAGTTGAGAAGCAGAACGGGAACAGCCTCCCCCCAACCGCCTGGTGAGCCCATTTCCCAGCCATTGCCTCAGAAGTGCCTGGAGGGAGCCCCAGAGCAGGACTGCCCCCTTTCCCTTGGAGGCCGTGGGGTGGAGAGGTCCTCTGCCAGGCTGCTCCGGCATAAGGGGCTGCCACATCAGGGCGAGCAGCAGCACAAGCCCCCATGGTGTGCCCGGCCCAGTGCCGGTTCCTGGGCTCCGTCCCCCTTCTCTGCCTCTTGCTGGGTGGGGGTGGGGGGCATCCTGGAAACCTGTTCTGTGCTTTTGGTGCCAGTGGGGCGTTGTCTGGAAGACCTCTGGGGGGGCCCTGCCTGTGGCCAGCCCTCCTTTGCACCTTTCCAGACTTCTGGACCCCAACGGCCCCCGAGGAGGAGGAGGCTACGCAGAGGACAGCTCGGCCCCCAAGCAGCCCCTGCCTCCTCTGGGGGGGGGGGGTAAGCAGGGGTGTAGGAGCGGAGAAGGGCCCCCTGCTGGGTTGAGCCTTGGCAAACTTCCTCTGACAGGATGAGCCCCATCTGCGCCAGAGGGGGGGAGCTGGGGGTGCCGGTCCGGACAGCCAAAGCCGAACGTCGGCATCAGGAACGCCTGCGAGTGCAGAGCCCCGAGCTGCTGGCCGCCCCGGAGAAGGAGCTCTCCCCAGCCGAGCGCCGAGCCCTGGAAGCGGAGAAGCGGGCCATGTGGCGAGCAGCACGGTAGGTGGGGGGGGAGGGAGTAGCTGGAGTGCCGGGGGCCACCTGGGAGCCCCGGGTCCATCCCGGGCAGGACCCACAAGGCCCCCGGCGGCTCTTCCTCCTTGTGGCAGAATGAAGTCTCTGGAGCAGGACGCCCTCAAGGCCCAGATGGTGATTGCCAAATCCAGGGAGAGCAAGAAGCGGGGCACATTGGAGCAGCTGGCAGAGTCGCCTTCCCCGGCCCCCACGCCTTCCCCCACCCCCTTGGAGGGTGAGTCTCCTCTTTGGTTGGACATTGGCACTGCCGGGGCCAGGGGCGGCCATTGTCCCTGAAGCTCCTCTGCCCCCCCTCTTTTGCAGACGGAGCTTTCCGTGTCGCAGTTTCACCAGGCCGGCTGGTAGGAGACGCCTGCGCAGTGGAGAGGCCTCTTCTGGGAGGGGGGGGGCTAGGCGTGGCACAGGGACTCTGGGGACCCCACCTGGAAAGGAACCTGGGGCCTTTAGCTTTCCCTCAGCCTTTTCAGCCAGGCGGAGGGGGCTGGGAGGGCCCGGGGGGGGGGGGGGGGGTGGGGGGGGACCCAAGCCCAAAGCAGCTGGAGGGACAAGTGAGGCTTCCCTGGGCAGAGGCGGGGTCACCTGCCTTCCTGGGCTCTGGTCCCCCTTGTTCTCTGTCTCTGTCTCTGCTCCCCCCCCGCCCCCCCGCCCCCCCCCCCCCCCCCCCCACTGTGGCCCTTCCAGTCTCTGCCTGAAAAGAAGTTCCTCTACAGGGAATTTGCGGCCATTCCTTCTTCCAAACCTGTATATGACATCCAGGTACAATTTGCATGGAGCTGGGCACGGTCAGAAAACCCCTCCCCCCCCCCCCAAGTGAGGGGGGGCAGTCGAAGGCCTTCTTGCCCGCCTGGGGCCTCTGGGGTTCTCTGCTACTGGAGGTTGGCGCCCCCCCCCCCCCCCCCCCCCCCCCCGCCGCGCGCCCCACGGGGGGCGCCCCCCCCCCCCCCCCCCCCCCCCCCCCCCCCCCCCGATCTTTTCCTTCGACCAAGAGCAGCTCCTTTTCTCCTCGGATTTGTCCCACCTTCCTGGCTGTTTCTGAGACAATGAGTGGGGCGGGACAGGGCTCGGGGGGGGGGAGTCCAACAAGGCCTCCTCCTTCCTTTGGGGTCCCTGCACAGACGTCGTTCCTTGAGCCCCAGGGCCAGTTGCTGCCTTTCTCAAGCCAAGTTTTCCTTTGCTCCGCCTGGTGAGCTGCGTGGGGGGTGGGGTGTTGACCCTCCTCCCTGTCACTTTGCGCTTCACCTGCAGGCCAACACCCCCCCCTCGGGTTCACCACTGAGTTTCTGGGGCCCAGGGTGGTTAGCCAGCTTTCTGCCCCGCCCCCCAGTCCAGACCATTTATGAAAGGGCTAAAAAGGACCAGTCCAGCCCCACCCCCAGTGGAACTTCCCTCTTGACTCCCCTCCCCCGTCTCTATCCCTTCCCTAAATGGAGCAGCCAGGGGGGCCCCTTGGGCATCCATTGGATTCTGTTGCCTTCGATGGGGAGGATCTGCATTGGGTGGGCAGTCCGTGCCAATCAGGTGGCCTCCCCCCCCCCCCCCCGTGCTCGTAGGTGGGCTCAAAGTAGGGACCCCCTGCTCCCTCTTATAAAGCCAGCTCCTCTGGGAGAAAGGGGAGGGGCCCTGAGGGCCGGAGGCAGAGCTGCTCCAGCTGAGAGTCCCTGGGCTGAAGCAGAGGGAGAGGCCGGCCTTCCCTACGGATGCAGTGGGAGGAGAGGCAGCCCAAGCCTGGGGGGGGGGGAGTCCCTGAGCCCCCAGCACCAGAGGCAGTTGGGGCAGCGGCTTCAGAGAAACGCATGGCCACAGAGTGAACCTTTTTTAAAAAAATGGGTTTTTTTGTATATCATTTTTTTATTTTTAAATACAGTGGAACCTCAGGTTGCGAACATCATTTAATTATTCAGTATTTTAATAATACTAATAATCATAATAATGTTATTTTAAGTGTGCATAATACAATCATTTTTCAACTTCTGATCCTTTCATCTACATACTGATTTTAAAATATTGTATAGGAATATGCATAATAATATTTTCCTTTCTAATCTCTACCTCTATTCTAAATCTTAATAGCACAAATCTTATATAATCTTAATAGATCTTATATCTATTTCTATCCATCATCTCTTGCTCGTTTTAGTATTTCAATTCTTGTTGATTTTTCTGCATGTTTTCCATCCTCCTCCCTTGGGATTTTGTATCTCCACGAATCATTCATATTTGATCTAAATGTCTCTACCTCTACCTCTTGCTGCCAAACCTTCACTAGGCCTATCAGTGTCTGTATCCTCACTTCAGGAATGTCTATTTATCCAGTTCTTTATTTTTATCTCTTAATGTATAATCTCCCTTATCTCTTCCTTCTCCTTGTCTTTTTGATTTTTGTTTTTTATCTGCTCTATCCTTTCTCTGTTTTGTCTATTTCCTTCTCTATTTCCTGGGGTTCCTGTTCGTTTTTCATTGTCATTTGCTGAGCATTTTCTGGTCTCACAACTATATCATGTATCAAATCCTTTACCTCCCTGTGGTTCTTTGTTATAGTTTCATGAATACTTTGAAACAAAAATAATATTTCTTTTTGAAATATACTTGTTTTTTGCCTTTTGAAGCATTTTGTCTTATTTAATATCAAAAGGTTACTCATTAATCTACCAGGGTCTCAAACTCTGTTGTCTATAGCACCCAAAAGCCAATATTAAAACAATTTACTCAGTCCCCAAATTATTCCTCAGGATGTACAATATTTATAGTTCTTTATAGTCCTCGACTAATCAGTTTACTCCTTCCAACTTCTCCAAAAAGTCTCCCCCCCTCCATTTTTTTTTTCTTTCACCTCTTTATTATACAGTTATCAGTTTATACTCCTAGGTGATCCATCAGGTTTCCCCATGTCTTCATAAACCACATGATCAACTTTTTAATTTCAATGATAATTCCAGGTATTTGTAAGCCACTCTATTTAGCAATCTTCAAAAGTCTCAGAATTTATTCCTCCTTAGCCGTGAAACAAACAGGTATAAAACAATATGCAAAAAGACAGACTTCCAGGTGTTGTTTGTCTCCACTGTTTTATTAATCCTCAGATTATTTCACGGACATTCCCAGCTTTGTAAACAAATAGTGTATATTCTTTCACCAGTAGATGGCACCATCACCTAAAATTTCAATGTTGCACCCAATCCAACATCTGAAAATCTGTTCCGATTTTCTTCATGCAATTTCTTCCAATAATCAACCAAATGTTTCCCGCAATTTAAAATGCCTTTTCAAAATATTAACAATAAAATATTCAAGTCCAGTCTTTCTGTATTCAAAAATTGATATTCTCCCTTAGGTTTCACTTTCTTTCAGTCTGTAATCTTTCTCTGTTTGTTCGCCGCGTTTTTACCACTTTAGAGAGTCTGTCTTTTCGGAGTTTCTTTTCTTTGGAATTAAATTTCTAGTATAGAAGTTGAAAATCACCTCACCCGGTTCCAGACCACTGTTCACAAACCACTCCAGCCAGTGGTGGGATTCAAAATTTTTACTACCAGTTCTGTGGGCATGGGTTGGTGGGTGTGGCTATGTGGTCATGTGACTGGGGGGTCAAAAGAGAGAAAGTCACTTTAACAATGCTCTTGGAGCAGGGGTTGGACTAGATGACTTCTGAGGTCCCTTCCAGCCCTGAATTGCTGTGCTGTTTCAAAGCATTCTCTAAAGCTACATCTAGTACCAGGGTTTGTGGGCCTTCCTTCCTCTTCTTTTTCTCTCCCCCATCCATTCATCCATATCTCATTCACTTTCCCTTCCCTCTTTCTCTCTTCCCATTTTTTCCTTCCTCCCCTCCCTCTTTCTCCCTTCCCTTCCTCCCTCCCTGGAACCTCCTGAGAGCCAGAACGGCATGTGTGTGTTGAGCACACTGCACACACACCCGCGTCCCGTTTTGGGCCTAGGAGGCCTCCCTGCACCATTTTGGCTCCCAGAAGCCAGAAGGGAGCACGTGGGGATTCCTGGGAGGGGTGAGGCAGGGTAGGGTGGGTCCAGCTGGTCGTCAGAACTACTGGTTCGATGAACCCACTGAATCCCACCCCTGGCTCCAGCACATTTTTTCTTCGGTTGTCCCAGCTTCATGGTGGCCATAATGGCCGCCTCTCCTCTTCGTTGTTGGATGGAAGGGAGCCACAGATCAAGCAAAGGAGCTGCCGCAGTCTGCGACCTACAAAGCGCCCCTCCTTTCTTTGTCACCCTTTCAGGGTGACTTTAGCCCTTTAAGGGCCTTCCAACAAGGAGGATTCAACCTAGGTTCGAGAGCCCAGCTCCCTACGACTGTCCTGCAGTGATGGCAAGCTGGACGTCGCCACAGAGTACACCTTTGAGTGGTTCCTTTGAGGTTGTCCTCCAATAAGGGAGCCCCGATTGGTTCTTCGGTGGGGGCCAAGGCCCACATTGGCAGGGGGGGCAAGATGGACAGGAAGCTTGTGCGAAGGAGGCCTTTCAGCTGCATGGAAGGAGTCCGGGGAGGCTGTCCAGCAGCTGGATGGTCGGTGGGAGGCATCGAAGGAGCAGGATAGGACCCCTGGGGAAGGGGCGCTGTTTTTCTGCTAGTAGGAAAGGGCCACCGGTCCCTGCCTTGAAACACTGTGTAAGTGCGTGTGTGCGCACGCACACACACGTGACTTCAGCATCGCCTCCTGGCCACTGCCTTGGCCATTCCTGCCATTTTCTCTTGGCAGCCTCTGTGGAAGTGGTTGCCTCCTCTCCCTCCTCCCCCCCCCCCCCCCCGAGCTGAGAAGGAGGAAGTCGTCCTGGGTCTCCCAGCTACCTTAGAGCCTTAGGCAGGACTCAAACTCACTTTCCGCTCTGCCTTCTTACCCGCTACATCAGACAAGTCCTGCCGCACCCCGCCACAGATGCCAAGTGAACCTCCAGCAATGCTGGCCCCATTCGTCCCTGCCAGTTCGAGGGGCAGGGCTGGATGGTATGCTGGCTCAGATCTGAGGAAGTGCCCAGAGTTGTGGGTGGGCTGAGTAAGGCCCCTAAAGAGGAGGAGGAGGAGGGCTGGGGGTCACAGTGGCTTCCTGGCTTCCCAAGATCGTGGAAGGAGCTTCATTTCTGTTCCTTGTCTTGGCCCTTTCCATTCTTTTTCTTCTCTCTCTCTCTCTCTCTCTCCCCCCCACCCCCTCAGGTGCAAGAGCTGAGGCGATGGCAGCTGCCTGTTTAAACTAGCAGCCCACCTGGACGCTCGTCCCAGCTCTGCGGCCAGCACTTGCTCCCCTGCACCAAAAGCCTCCCTTTGAATCCTGCTCTCCTTGAAATATCCCTTCTCTGGGCAGCCCCAGCAAAGGGGGGGGGGGGGCAGGTAGGCAGGCAGGCAGGTGGGAGGGCAGGGCCCTAATCCTCCTCTGTTCTTGCAGACTCCAGATGGGCGAGAATCCTGCAAACATCTCGGCAGCAACTCAGGTGGGTGGACAGCCTCTGCAGCCCCAGACAGCAAAGAGGGGAATGCGTGATCAAGCCATTGGGCGAGAGGATTGGGATTCCGCCCCCCCACCCCCCGGGGCTAACATGCTTAGCCAGTTCCTGACCTTGTTTGGAGAGAGCAAGGGGTGTCCGTGACTGAAGGCTGCTTCCCTGTCTGTCTGGGGGCTCAGCCCCCAGCTTCCCCCTCCTCAGCCTGCAGGCCCTGGTCCTGAGAAGAGGAGGGGGCTTCTGCAGGGTCTTCCTGCCTTTCGTGCTCTGCCCTATGGAGTGAGGAGCACCCTCTGGAGGGCCACGTTCCCAGAAGGCAGTTGGCCGAAGAGCAGGTTGACGCCTCCTTTTTCCTCCCCTCAGGGCGCCAGGACTGTGGTGGGACCTCGGAGCCCCTGACGACCCACGGTCCCTCTGTGGGCCAGGAGCTGGGCCTGTTTGGCGACGAGCGCAACCTCCAGCAGGCCCAACACAGCATAGAAGCTGCCGTCCCGACATAACATGCCTGTCGTTGGAGACTGTGTGGACACTGCCAGGCCAAGGGGACAGAGTGGGGTGCTCAGCTGCTGGGCCCCTCGATGGACCATGGGGCTCTGGATCCCCTTGCAATGCGCTGGGGCAGATTGTGACAAATCGGAGATGGAGCATTGGGGGCAAGGGGAACTGAGGGGATGTGGGGTCTGTAAATAGTGGATGGAGGACGGCCACAAAACTGTTTCCATTTGGCATCAGCTGTGGTCGCCAGAGACCTGCCAGGCGTAGCCAACCAGCAGTGGGGGCCCCGTGCCTGTCCCCCACCTTCCCTTGGGGCCCCAGCAGCACCTGCTGGCGGGGCGGGGGAACGTTTGGGCGCTGCCATGCCAGGCAGGATAGAGAAGGGTGAAGCCGAGTAGGGGCAGACTAGTGGTATTAGGCGTGGCAAGGCAGAGGTTGGGGGTTGGAGTAGTGTGTGGGGAGGGGCACGGGGGCCTCTGGTGGTCCCAGGATTGTGACTGTGGCCCCCACCGGTGCTTTGCAGCCTGGCCGGTGGAGCTGCAGGGCCATCTGGGAAGGGGGGGGGTGAGGGACTTTCCTGGCACCCACCAGGCAGGCTGCCACTGTCCACAGGATGAGGGCCGTCGCTTAGGCCAAACCGCTAGAGAGGCTCGTTTGAATGGGCCGTTTGGTTTTAGGAAAGTAGCGTGGCTGGTGTCTCTCTCTCTCTTTCTCTCTCTCCTTCTCTCTCTCTCTCTCTCCTCTCCAGCTACGAAGGTGGCTGCCTCGCCCCCACCTATTAGAGCGTTTGTTTTTAAACTAATTTTAGCATTTAAGGAGCAGCTGGGGAGTGGTCAGGCAGGGATTCAGTGGCTAACTAACTTATAGGTGCTGGGCTGTGATCCATCTCTCCTCCCCGCAGGGTATTCCGGGGGAGATCAGGACTGTAACTAGTGACATTTGTACAACCAAAGAAATCTATTTTGTGGATCAATGACAATAAAGTTTACTTTACCTTTTAGAGCTCCGGATCCTTCCTTGACTCAGCCGGCCCCCAGGGCTGCTCTCCCTCCCCCACCCCGAAATGAGGCTAACTGGGGAGGGGCTGCCTTCCAGGACAGATTGCAAAGAGCAGCTGAGCTACTTTAACCCACAAAAGGATCGAGACCCAAAGCAGTGGAGGGGCAGCAAGGGGGCAGAAACGTGGGGAGTGCCTGAGCATGGACAGAACAGGCGAGGCCTTGGCAATGACCTTTCCGTATTGGCTGGTGGGCTGGGACCCCGACGTGCAGGAGGACGGGAGCTCTCTTCCCTGCTCCGACTGGCTCCCTCCCCTGTGGGCCTTCGGGAGGAGCCCCTGGAGCAGCCCAGCCCTCTCCGGCCTCGGCCTGCCTTCCTGTTCAGAGCATTACGTGGGGCAGGAAGGCTGGCCAAGACTGACTGCTTCCTCCTGTCCAAGGCCACATTGGGCCAGGCTGACCAGCAGGAGACGGTGAGTTCTTGTCCCAGCTTAGCCATGACACTAGCTGGATGACCTTGGGCCTTCCAACCCAACCCACTTCACAGGGTTGTTGTTATGGGGGAAATAGGAGGAGGGAGGCGTGTCGGAAATTTTCCGTGCCTTGGATGATTTGTAAAAATAAAGGCAGGATACAAATGGAACGAATTGAAAAAAAAGGAATAAGGCCCCAGGCAGCTTGCAGCCAGCAGGCTCCAAAGGAAACCCCTCCAGAGACGCCCCCCCACCCCCCGGTGGCTGGGCCTGCCACCTGCGACTGCAGCCATTTCCCGCAGCCTCCCTCAGTCCAGGCCTCAGTCCGGGCTTCCTTCCAGGGACGAAGTGCCTTAGTATTTCCCCGCTTGGCCCTCCAAGCTAAACCTAGCAAGTGACCCCCTTCCCTGTTTGGAGGACGTAATGGCCGGCCCCGCCATCCTCGTTCCTGCGGCTGTTGGTGCTGCTCTCATCCGTGCTTGAAGGGCAAGGCCCAGGAATGGGAAGAGAGGCATTACAGGTCTCCTGCAGAAGACGGGGGTGGGACTGCCACTTCCTGGGAAGCCCCGTTTCTCTGGCCGCAGCCCCTATGGACAAGCCCCCTTGCCGCCTGGTCTGGAGCCCGTGTGGTTTACTTGGAGGCTCCCAAGACGGGTAGCGGCCGCCCTGCAGCCATGAGGGCACCTGAGCATGTGTGCACGTGTCCTGGAGGCCGCCTCTGTGGCCTGCCATGCCTTGTCCTTCCTCTGGGGCATTAGCCGGTCCAGGGGTTTTGTGTCAGTCATTCTGGCTGCCCCTCCAGCTGCATCCTTGCAGAAAAGAGGGAGGGGCATTTACTCTCACCAGGGTCACCCACCCTTTCAGCCAGAATGGAAACCAACATCTGTGGCTACTTGGCAAAAGGTGTGGCTGACCTTTTTTTCCCCCTAGGCTTCAGCCAGGTGCTGGGAGGGGCTTCCTCTTTCCCACCCCGTTACTTTGGCCCAAGGATGAGGGCTAAGTTAGGCTGCCTGCTTGTCTTGCCAAGTTTAGCAACTTGGGCCACTGGATTAAGCCAGGATAGCTTTCTCTTTGGCCACCTCACTGGACCTGAGGGCAGGAGTTGCCCTTTGTGAAGGGGCCACTGTTGTATGACTTGGATAAGAACTGGGGGGAGCAGCAGGTGGGCAGAGGCCATCGCCCAGGCATGGGGTGGCACAGGGACCGTCCTGGGAGGGACAAACTCCAGAGGTTGGGGAGAAAGTCAGAGAGAGGCCACCTTGGGACTTCCCAAAGGAACAACTCTTTATTGAGGCTCACGGCCTCTGGGAGAGAGGGAGGGGGGTCTGCAAAGGGAACAGGAAGGCCCCCTGGGCTCCTCCCTCCCACTCAGCGCGTGGGGCTGGCAGGAGCCACTTGGGGGAGGGCCGTCTTCTGAAGCTCCGCTTTCTGAAAAAGAGTTGAGGGTAGTCAGGGGAAGCCTGGTCAGCTGCTGTTGCACCAGGGAGTGGGCACTGCCCACCCACCCGCCCGCCTGCCATGGGGTCACTGCAAGACAAGCACCCACCCCTTGGGGCGCTGTTGAGCCGGGCACTGCCGAGCTGTGCCTACCGCCTGGCCATTCCGGACAGGAGCACTTGGACCGGGAGGAAGGCCTGCAGCAGCTCTTCAGGGGGGTGATGGCGCTTGGTGACCACAAAGAGCCTGAACTTCTCCATCCGGGAAACTTGAAATTCCGTCTCTGCATATTCCGGCCCGTCCGTTGCCCTCAGTAAGGAGCGATACCTGCCCAAGACAGAGGAGGAGGAGGCGTTTGGCCTGGCCATTCTGGGCAGCGTGGGGGCCACCAGCTGAGAACAAGGTGATGCACGGGGAGGGAGGGAGGAGGGGTTGGCTTGCATCTTGCGGTGCCGTCTCAGGTGGCGAACGTCCTGGGCTGCGGGGGGGGGGGGTGAGGCAGGGCAGTTGAAAACAGCCTCTCCCTCGAGGCCCTCTGTCTCCCCGAGGGTGACTGGTGGGGTGCAAGCCCTTCCTCCAATGGGGTAGCGATGGGTCAGTCTGCCACCCAAATCCTCCAAGATGGAGGGCACTGGGGCCAGGTGAAGTCCAAGGCCGGACACTAACCCTCCCACCCCTCCCCTAGGGAGTTTAGGGCTAAGGGTCCGGAAGTGCCTTGTGTGAGTCCAGCTTCCGGGGAGTGGGGGTGTCACAGCCCTAGAAAGCTGAGAGGGTTCCAAAGAAAGGAAAGCTCTGGGGAGAGCATGGAATTGATCCCCCAGGAGAAGAGCACCTCAATCCGAGCTGCATTCTGCGCTCTGCTCACAACAAAGCTTCCAATCAGGAAGACCCAGGGCTGCCTTCTTACAACGCTCTAAGCTTGGGGAGAGCGGACGGTTCAAATTTTCTGTTCCTTCGCATGGAATGCCAGCTCAGCCCTGCTGATTCCCCTGTGACATTCTTGTAAACCCACTAAGTGGTTTGACTCTTTGGTTAATCTGTCATCAAGAGACTCCTCTGCTATGGGCCATGTTGCATGAATGCAGCCACCACGGCATAGTGCATCTCTGGGCTTCTTAGGCCAAATGATTTTATGGGGATGGTTGGCTTCCTTTCTGAGTGCCAGGGACTCCCTTTTGGAAGTGGCCAGAATCACACGAGCCCATAGAAATTGCACCTCCGCTTGTCTCAGAAGAGCCATGGCCCCTAATGGCCACAGGAGGCCTCAGGCTGACATCCACTGAAGGTGACCCAGGAATGTTCGCAGCTGCTGCTGGGAGACCATCCATCTCATCCCAGAACCTCAAGATCCGTTTCCTGCGTCCCACGGCCAGCGATTCACCCACCTCTCTTTCCTTCAGATGACCTCCAACCGCTCCATTGGTGGGTTTTCGGGCACCCGAGAGGTCTCTGGCCCATCAGAAGTTAGTCTTGCTTGGTGACACATAAAGAAAGGGCTCACCATTCACTCTCCAGGATCTTCTTGCTCAACACCACCTGAGTGAGGCCCGTCTGCAGCCGTTCCAGCTGCTTTTTCACTGTGTCAAACATGTCCAGTTCCATCATGTCAAAGACCAGGGGCTTCCCATAGCTGGCGATGGGTGGAACAGAACCAGGCGGGGGGAGGAGAGGAGGAGAGAGAGAGAGAGAGAGAGTTGTCCCTCATGGACATAGCTAGCCATTGGCCAGAAGCCGCCCCCTCCCCACCGGTGCTCAACAGAACCCAGCTTCCCCTGCCCATCCGTGTCATTGTTTCTGGCACACGTGCTGCCCTGCTGCTTTCTGGATCAGTGCTCCATTAGAGGGAAGGGGCCTCCCCTCCCCTCATGGCAGAGCCCTACCGAAGAGACCCCAGCAAGGCCAGGCGAATGGCTTCCACGGCCATGTCGGCGGGATTGGCAGTGTTCAGGTAGTTGGTATCACGGTAGCGCAGGAAAATTGCTGCTTGCCCGGAGGGGTCAATGATCAGGGGCCACCTGGATGGAGGGAAGGAGAGAGCTGGGGGCCTGAGCCAGCCATCTCCCGTTGGAGGCCAGAAGGCTCTGCTTCCTAGGGAGGGCTGCCAGGGAGGCTCCCACCACTCACCGCCCGTCGGCCTGCATTTTCCCACCCACGTCCTTCATCAGCACATCGTCCAGCTCCTGCATGGAGCACTGGAGACCCGGAATCTCGGAGGGTGATCCTACCAAGGCAGAGCAGACCAGTGAGGGGCCAGCCAGCTGTTGCCTTCTCCAGTGCGAGGGAAGCCCAGCAGTGTAGCATTGCCCTCTTCCTTGGGGGCCTCTTCCCCAAGACCTGCCAGGGTTGCAGAAGCCGACTGGCACTTTTATGGTGGACACTTTTATGGTGTCCAGCCCCACCTGGCAGGATTCTGGATCCACTTCCTCAAAGAGGCATCTTCCTCCTCCCCCTTCCCCAACTCAGCCAGGGCAAGGAGGACCCCTGCTTTCTTCTTGGGGGCAAGGTGTTCAAGAAGGGTCCTGGCTCAAGAGAGGCAGGGAGCCCCTGTGAAGGACGGCTGCGAGGCTGAGGCAGCCTAGCCCAAGCCCTGGAGCCTCTCTGCAGGAGCTGGGGAGGATGACCTCGCCCCTTGCAGCCGCCATCAGCTGCCTCACTGACCCTCCTGCATTTGCTCTCGCAGCTTCAGGCGGGCCAGGGACAGCTTCTCCTCAGCCTCCTCCACAGCCATGCGCAGCTTCTCCACCAGCCCTTCTGCGTCGGCGATGGCCTGCCCCAGGAAAGGATGGGTGAGCCTGGCCCAAGAGAGCCTGACCCTTGCTGAGCAAAGGGGACCTCCCCACAGAGTGAAATGGGGTTAGCCCTCAGCCTCGCTCAGCTCTCCTGGCGCGTGATTTGACGTCCTGTCCACAGCTGGCACTTAATCGTTAGCCACTTGCAGCTGTCCCTAATTGCAGGCCTCTCCCCCAAGAGAGATATAGCCGTAGCAATCCCGTAGTTCTTCTGAATTCTTGAGGGGGCCTGCAGATGGCCCGGCTGGCACCTGGGTGCCTGCACCCCATCGCCCAGCTCCTTGACAAATACAGAGGGCTGCTCG